GTAGTGAGAACAGCTATAGAAAGGCAAAGCGAAGGATCCTCGTGGTGATGGAAATGTTCTGTATCTTGATATATTGACTGTATCAGTGTCACTATCCTGTATCCTGGTTGTGATATTTTTAAACAGTACTGTGATACTCTAGCAGTTTTACTCAGCTTTTTATCTATTACATTATATGCATTTCTTCATCATATGATAAGCTCTTAATAAAAAAACATGGTTTAATAGTCTGTTAACTATTATTCCTAACCACTGCCCTATTGTTAGGCATTAGATTGTTCACAGTTGGTCACTATTACAAGTAATGCTATATTTTTTTATATTTAGAACTATTTCCTGGTGTGATTTACCACCATTAGAATTACTAATTCAAAAGGCCTAAAAAAAAAAAAAGGTCCAAGGGCAAATTTAATGTCAGTGGAGGCAATTATACTACATAGCAATTACAAACTTAGAAGTGAGACAAACCTGAGTTTGAACTCAGTTCTGCCATATTCTAGCTCTCTAAATTTGGCCAACTTAATTAGCTCTCTCAACTTTGGTTTCCACTGCCATAAAATGAAGACAGTAGTAGTAGCTCCAACTATAACACTTCACTAAAGCACTTCACTCAGTGACTGGTGCCCAGCAAGGACCTGAATCACAGTGTATGAAAATCACCATCATCATCAAATATTGCCACTTAGCATAATTTTCTCCCTTCTTCCTCTACATGGCTTCTTATTACCCTTTTAAAAAAACTGCTCTGTGTGTGTGTGTGTGTGTGTGTGTGTGTATGAAGGTACTTCAAAAAGTTCATGGAAAGATTCGTATTATATTTTAATTCTATTTTTCCACAAATTTTTTGAAGTACCCTCAAATATGCTTTTATTCTAAGTTGCTTCATATCTTTCTTAGCTGTCAGGATAAATTATAAATATGTAAACAAAATAAAGAATCTGAAGTCTTCCTGAATCAATTATATAGCATATAAATCATAATAATAGTTAATAACAGAGTCAGGTACTATTGTCAGCTCTTGACATGGGTTAACTCATTCCTCTTATGTAAAAATATGACAGGAACAAATTCAACAGTCATAATATAAATTTAATTACAAATTTTCAAAATAATTACCTGTACAGTTTTGTTTTTAGTTCTTTTTAAATGACAGTTCCCTAAGGACCTATCATCTTCAAACCACACAGTGCTATGCTTCTCTATACCAAGTTTTTTTTCCCAAGAATATTTTTAAAGCACACTGACTACAGTAACCTAAGTGTTCAGTAGTAAGAGAATGTAAAAACAGCATTTGATGAAATACTGACCATCGTGACAGTGAATAATTATGAAGATTATCAAAGCAAGATGGAAAATGTATATGATATAATAAGAGTGAAAAGGGCAGGACAAACAGGTGTGTATGCTATGATTGTTATACTACAGAAATACAAGCCTGTGAAAAAATACTGAAAGGGAATATACAGAATATAATATGAGCTATTGGGTTATGGTGGTAGTGTTACAAAGTCTTTTTCTTTCCTTGACTGTTCAAATTTTTGGATATTTCATAGTTTGAAATACAGACACAATGAAATATAATTATAATTCTACTTATTGTTTTGCAGATTTTAATGCATAGAATAAATTGCCTCCTCTCAGATATTTCTAAGAAAAGTGTAAATCTCATTCCCTAACAGCTCTATTTTTTTTTGTTTGTTTTTGTTTCTCAGGGATCCCAACCCATGACCTTGGGGTTATAAGGCTGCGTTCTAACCGACTGAGCTAACCAGCCAGCCCCCTACCAGTTCTATTTTATTTATTTATTTATTTATTTATTTTGGCAGCTGGCTGGTTCAGGGATCAAACGCTGGACCTTGGTGTTATCAGCACCATGTTGTAACCAACTGAGCTAACTGGCCAGACCTTAG